TCACCCCCGCCAGCCTAGTAGTACATCCCTAGTAGTCCTCCTCCCTAGATCTCCTCCGTCAGCTCCCACCTCATCGAGATACCCCCTCCCCGACCCCCTTGCTCTTGCCCTACCTTCCGCACACACGTAACACGTACCTATATAGACATAGGGATGAAAACTAGCGAGAGGGGTGCACGACTACGTGCGAGTGCCACTAATAATCCGCGGGGGATGTTTCGAGAAGAGAAAGAAAGAAAAAATGCCAACCCTTGCGATTCGTCCAGGTATACAGGCGAACGGGAGGGACGCCTTGTTAATTGGAAAGGAAATGAAAGAAAGGCGGCTGCCGCCGCTGTTAAATTAGCATCTAAAGAGATTGTCCGTCAAAGATTCAGAGCTGGATGAAAAAAAAAGAAACTATAGATTCCGTAATGAAACATGCTACAGGTATACTAATTGGACAAAGTAAAAGCGAATGGCATTGAATGACGGAGTGTGTATATGTATACAGTGTTTGAAATCGGGGGAAAAGAGGGATTCTTGATAACGCTGCCTGATAAGGCTAATATGCAATTAGCGCGTGCTGATTCTAAATCAAAGCGATCCGAATTAATCTTCTGATAACGGGAGGCGATAACGCGACTACTCTTTACACACGAACTTTTTCCCTGACACTCGGCGGTAGAACAATATAGATATAGGCGTCCGTACGGTCCATGCGGGACAGCGATATGATTACGCACCGAACAGACATCGTTAAATGGTAAAAAGCATCCTGGCGAAAATAGCGAAAGCGAAAGACGGTAAAGGCTGCTCGGAACGATAAATAACGTAGGACAGAGATACGGCAATATTTGATCGACGGATCCGCGGCGAATACAATTTTTTATTTGGTCAATAAGAGACGCCGTTTGAGATTATGAAAGTGCCCTAACAGCAATATGGGGACGTCCTTCCTATCCCCGCGGACCATCCCCATGACCACCCGGGCAAACTCGCCCTGAACTCTGAACCCTGAACCGCCGTCGACAGCGGCCAGAAAGTAAGGCTAAGTATAGAGGGGGCAGGGGGAGGGAGAGACGGGAAGGAGAGTTTAATAAAAATGTCAAATATAAAATAGCCAGCAGGGACGGACATTTAGGAAATAAATAAATGTAAAAGAAAGATGGCCGACCCGGGGAGAGACAGGTAGAAAGAGGGACAGCAGGGCATATATCGAAGTAGAGTAGCTCATGCAAGGGTGCCGCTACTCCAGCATCCCCTATTGCTACTTGGTACTGTTTGCCGGTATGGCAGCGTCACTGTACGACGTATCGTATATAAGAAAATGGCCCCAATATAATATTATGACGAGATCCCACGGCTGACCCAACTCCATTCAAATAGCGCTCGCCATGCACTTTGCAATTTTATCAAATTTCTCTCTTCTCCGTCTTGCTTCTATTCACGACCCAGGAACCCATGCGGACTGGTAACGTCCAATATGGTTTACGCTTCTCGCGCTTACACGGATTTACGTGGCGAGGCAATTTCGCGCGGCAGGGGAAAGGACTTTCCAATATTTTAAACGGCCGTATCCAAAAATTTTCTTAGCAGCCGCTACATCTCACGGAGATACCTCTGAGCGTGGGTATAATTTGGGGGTCTAATAATGATCCCACCCGCCTAACCAACCCTGGCCGACATCCACCAAACCCACCCACTCGAGGACCGTGTCATTATACTATGAAGTAGAGAGGCTGCTAATTAGTCATTAGCGGAGGAAAAAGACACCTCTAACGGCGTCCACGTTGCCGTCGACGTCGACGTCTACGAGTCTCCGGCAGAACCGACCGGCAGTAGGAACGCTACTGGGAACGGGAACGGCACCGGAGCAGCAGCAGCCCCAGCAACCAGCAGCCCAAGAACGGTAGACTTGAGCAAACAGGGTGTAGCTTCTAGCCTGCGTCTAATTGGACCCCCAGCGATGTAAGTTCAACTAATTGAGACCAGCCCCGTTACTACCACGTTACTGCTATACGAGAGCTTCTCTCTTTCTCTCTCTCTCTCTCTCTCGTACTATCCTGCTCTCATCCGCGACCAGATCCTCTCTTTGCGTCTTCACGATTCACCTTATCCCACGATATCCCTTAATTAATGAATTGCAATAGACATCCACAGGCCAAGTCAAGAAGCTTCTGTTAATTTTTTAATAAAAATATTGATTCGATAATAAAATTAAAAAATATTTTAGAAAATTCTCAAATCTCTATCTTAATCGCTCAGTCGTACAATTGCAAAGGTCTGCTGAGGGTACAGAGGTTTATATGTACACATTTGTATATACATATTGACATATATATGTATATACACACTCACGAAGATTCCTACAGGAGTGGATATCTGTCCCCCAGGAAGGACGAGAAGAGAAGAACCTAGCGAAGCTTGTTAGGCGTCGGCGAGCTCGCTATCTTCTAATTGGCGATATAATGATCCTGAAGGATGGAATCCCCTGATCCTGAAGGACTAAGGAGCACCCTCCTCCGTACCTTTCTCTACCCGCCTACCCTTGTTAGGGGTGAAATTAAAATTTGGTGCTCCGGATCTTCGCTCGTCTCTTGTCCCCGAGTGAGCTCGTTATACGAGCTACAATTTATACGTCTTTCCGCCTAAGGTTCCATCCACACGTGGATGGCGAACGGCACTCCCGGTTTGAAGATGCTCTTCGCGAATACCAGGGGGAGATCGGGTTATGCCATATACCGTACCGGAAAAAATATATCCGAGAAAAATAAATATGCTCGGACGTAAAGATAAGGGTGATTCTGAATCCCCGAAAAAGAAGCTATAATACGCATAGAGAGAAACTACAAAAAAAAGTCATACCTACCAAAATGAATAGTTTACAAGGGAATAAGGGATGATTTTTTTTTTTTTTTTACGAATTAACATATCTGCCAAGTAGCGGGCAATGATAGTGGAAATCATCCCTTAGCATTGGAAATTTTTGTTTTCTCCATTGCGACACTACTATCCCTAGTATCATGCCACGATACTATTATCGCCACTGCTACTAGCAGCATCAGTGATTCTAGATGGTAAAATCGTCGCACTAGAACGAGTAGCAGCCCGAACGCCTGGCGCAGCTCTCTTGCTTACTTACTTGGCGTGGAGGGGTGGAAAGGAGGGAGAGGAGAGGGGCCTCCTTCATCTGGGATCCAATTAACGATAGGCGAACCAAACTCCGAAGCGCCAGTTAAAAATTAGCTCAGTCCGGGGGTTGCGCGAGGAGGAACTCAGGAGAGCCGGTGGCTCGAAGGAATGAGAGCGAGAGAGCCGTATGTCCGGCGAGAAGGATTACACCCTCGCGATCCGACGCTTCCCACTCCTGGAGTAGTCACGGCCAGAGAAGACGATGAAGGAAGGGGGGGGATAGGGACGGGGGGGGGGAGATATAAAGCCAGTGTGCGATTCTGTAAAAGGAAGCAGGATGAGAGTTGAGTTTCTAGTCGAGTGGGGGAGGTTGGACGAGGAGGTTGCCCAGAGGGGAGGGTGTGTTGCCAAGGACGGAAGGGGATGGAGGGAATTCAATTTAAACTTATTTTTGTTCTTACAATATCTGAAATGGTAAATCTAAATACGGGAATAAAATATAAAATTGGTTCTGCCAACGGCTGAGTGGCGCGAGAGGGATCCTCGCGCCAGTCAGGGAGGATATATGTCTGGCGGGGAGGCCCCGCATGCGCTATACCATCATCGGATACCGGGTGGTCATTGAAAATTGGAAAATACATCGGGGGTCATAAATTAAACCTGGCGTCTTACGGCGATA